CCATCCACTGGATCACTCCCTAAATGTCCATAATGGCTAGGGCTGTGCCAGGGCCAAAGCTATGAACAGGAAGCTCAATCCAAGTCCCCCATGTAGGTGGCAGGGACTACCAACTACTTGAAACAGTGCCACTGCCTTCCCACATCTGCTTTAGCAGGAAGCTGGAGTCAGGATCTGGAGCCAGAATGAACCTAAGCACATTTTTTTATTGAAAGTTTGAAGTAGGAAGCATCATCATCGTCACCATCATCGTCACCTGCTTCATCATTGCAGCGTGCCAGTCTGAGGCTCTGGGCCCAGCCTTGCACCTCTGTTGGCTGGAGGTAAACCATTCCCTGGTTTCCTCATCTGTAAACTTCTACAGGCGGGTCATGTTTCTCACAGAAGAAATACAAAAATAAAGGGAAGTAATGTCAGTGACAATGTTTTGTGATTCACATGCATTGCACAGCTTCTTCTTGATTGTGGATGTGGCTGGCAAAATGCTGTTTGGATAACTCTGGGTTTTTCCCAGCCCCCACATTGGGTCCCTTGCTGGGTTGGTTGGCGGCTTCACTGTGAGCTCAGGACGCAGGTGTCCACTGTCTCCCCTGTGGACAGCCCAGAGAAAAGGTAGTTTGTGTTCTGGCAGGAAAATCTTAGGTGAGACCTAAGGAAGAATGAACTTCCTGACATTGGAGCAGGCGAGTCAATAAGAAAGTGGACTGTATTCTTGGGGAGAAGGGAAGGGTCTTTCAAAACAAGAGAAAGACCCTCAATCCTCAAGGAGGATTGAGAAGCGTGTCTGGGTTTACTTCCGGGACCCTCTGAGTCGTGGAGATAAGACCCATACTTGGGAGCCCCTTTTAGGCTCCTGTGCAGGCCACAGAGGTTAATGTTTCCATTTAAATGGAAATTGAGTGCAAAATTATTAGCAACTGTTCAAAAAGAAGCAAATTACGGGGGGCTGCTCTTTGTACAAACAGAGCTGCTGCCTATGTTTCACACCTTAAACAGACAGGTGGGTCCTGCTGAAAGTCACTCTGCACCCACGAAAGATCTGAAACCCAGAAGTGTTTTGTTTGGAGCACAGACTAGGAGGCCACCAAACTCCCCTGCCTCAGTTCCTGGGAGTCCCCACAGGAGGGTCAGAGGCGCATCTCCCAAGAGCACCTGCTGAATATGGGTCACATGGACCCTCAGCCCCTTGTCCCCCGACCTCAATCCTCACCGCTTCCCAACTCCATAGTTGCCCACCCACCTGAAATGTCTTCAGGACCCCCAAGTCCACTTTCACAGTCATTCACAAGCAAGCACAGACTGAGCATTTTGAGTGAGCTGGCACGTGCGTCTCCAGCTCAGATCAAACAAGGTGATGCTCTGTGCCTTGTTTGCTTGCTTGTTTATTTGGGGGTGATTTTACTGTTTAAAATGGCCCCCATGGGTAGTGCTAAATTTCTTTCTTGTATTCCCATGGGCAAGAAGATTGTGATGTGCCTTATAGAGAGCTGTGTGTGTTGCATAAACTTCACTGAGGCGTGAATTATAGTGCAGTTGGCTGTGAGTTCCATGTTAGTGAATCCGTGGTATACATGAGTGTTAAACAGGACGGTTTTAAACAGAAGCCCACAGAAAACAAAGTGTATGTGTTCACACAGATGGCACCAGACAACAAGGGCTGCCCCAAACCCAGGTCCATGACTTCACTTTAAAAAGGAATGCAGGGGTGAGTAGAAAGGTGAATAGCAAGCAGCAAGGATTTGATTGAGAAAGCGAAATGCACACTCCACTGACAGGCAGGGTCTACTGAAGGGGAGAGTGGCCTTCCTCTGAAATGTGCTTAACATTACAGGGTCACTTAGTGAAAGGAGAGGTACACCCCAATAAGAGGGAGGGATACTCCTGAACTTTCTGGAAAGCAGGTGAAGATTCCCCAGAATCCAGCTACGGCCCCGTTCCACTCCTTGCATGTTCTAATGTTTCCTGTCTTGGTGGATGGCAAGCATTTCATTTAGCATGCTACTGTATTATAGCGACCATACGCAGATCCTCTCAGGTCAGTCTAGGTCGGCCTTGGTATGAGCCGGGTCCAGGTAGGGGTTTACCATGGATCAAGGGGAACAAAACCCACATCCTCTAGGTCTTGAGATAACAGCAACCATTACCTGCAGAAACCTCACCTGCTTCCTCCACCTCCCTGTCTCAGGCTCCCAAAAATGATGTGACCAGAGGGTCACAGGAACCTAACCTGGATTTCCCCTGGAAGCAACAGTTCGTTATTTGTTCATTCAGCAATTGTGGAAATGTTATAGTAGACACAAATAACCACAACTGACTATAGTAGGTGTTCAGCCAATAGTAACTATGCCTTCACAGGGGTATCTTTGGGCTTAACCACAGAGGAGCTGTTCTTAATAAAAGGTGAACCAAGGTGAGCAGTTAAGCTGCCACTTAGAATATTCACATCCCATATCAAAATGCCTGGGTTTGAGTCTCGGTTCCACTTCTGATTCAGCTTCTTGCTAATGCACACCCTGGAAGAGAACAGAGGAGGGATCAAGGCCGGCGCCGCGGCTCACTAGACTAATCCTCTGCCTTACAGCGCTGGCACCCCGGGTTCTAGTTCCGGTCGGGGCGCCGGATTCTGTCCCAGTTGCCCCTCTTCCAGGCCAGCTCTCTTGTGGCCAGGGAGTGCAGTGGAGGATGGCCCAAGTGCTTGGGCCCTGCACCCCATGGGAGACAAGGAGAAGCACCTGGCTCCTGCCATCGGATCAGCGTGGTGCGCCGGCCGCAGCGCGCCGGCCGTGGCAGCCATTGGAGGGTGAACCAACGGCAAAGGAAGACCTTTCTCTCTGTCTTTCTCTCTCACTGTCCACTCTGCCTGTCAAAAAATAAAAATAAAAAATTTAAAAAATTTAAATAAAGAAGAGGGATCAAATACTTGGGTCTCTGCCACCCATATGAGAGGCCCAATTGGGTTCCAGGCTCCTAGCTTCAGCCTAGCCTACTCTTGGCTGTCTTAAGCATTTGAGAAGTAGATGAGATTCTCTCTCTCTCTCTCTCTCTCTCTTTCTCTCTTTCTCACCCATCCTCCCTCCCTTTCAAGTAAAACAAATAAATATATTTTTGAAAATTTATTCATTTATTTGAAAGTCAGAATTATACAGAGAGAGGAGAGGCAGAGAGAGAGAGGTGTTCCATCCGCTGGTTCACTCCCTAAATGACCACAACAGCCAGAGCTGGGCTAATCCGAAGCCAGGAACCAGGAGCTTCTTCCAGGTCTGCCACATGGGTGCAGGAGCCCAAGAACTTGGGCCAATTCCACTGCTTTCCCAGGCCATAGTAGAGAGCTGGATCAGAAATGGAGCAGCCAGGTCTCGAACCGGTGCCCATATGGGATGCCGGCACTTCAGGTCAGGGAGTTAACCTGCTGCGCCACAGTGCTGACCCCTAAATATTTTTAAAAATAAATAACAGGTGAACCCCTTGCCAGGAGGATTGAAGGGAAAGGATCTCTCCACCCCTAGGCTGCCCCCCAGGGCTGCACTGAGCAGGTGGGAGAAGGAAGCGCCCTGAAGGAAAGCAGAACAGAATTCGGCCTCACCTGCTTAATCACCTGCCAAGGCCTTGCCTCCAAATACCATCACATTGGGGGTTAGATTTCAGCATCTGGATTTTGGGGAGACACATTCAGTCCATAGCGCCTCCTTTCCCCTGGCCAACTTCTACTCAGGGTTTTAACGTAGATGTTACTTCCCAACTCCCCAAATCTGGACTGCATGCCTTTCTTCTGTTTCCCACAGCATCTGCTACCAGCCCAACATAGCACTTTTAGGATACATCATAAGTGCGAATTCATTGCCATCTCACTTGATTAGAGTCACCGTGGAGGACGGGAGTGCCTGTCTCGTTCAGCACTCCATCTCCTGTGTTGATCACAGTGTCTGGTATATCCGAAATGCTCAATATGGAGCTCCTGAGAGAATGACTGCTGCTGAAGCCTCCCCCTCGACACCATGCTGACTCCTGACATTCTGCAGTTCCCCGCCCCTGTTGCCATGTATGTCTCTTTTCCTGACAGTTTCCAGCCTCTGGAATACAGTCCTCCCACCTCCTTCTGCTAGAAGCAAAGAGAGAGAGAGAGAGAGAGAGAGAGAGAGATTCTGGGCTCCCAGCTCTAGGCTGGCCCCGTGGAGCCCTACAGCAGGAGCCACCTTAATGGCAAGAGAGGGGTGCGTGGTCGCGACATCTTCCAGCAGGCGGCATATCTACCTGCCAGGTGCGTGCATCGCCAGGACTGACGCTGCCAAGGCTGGATGCAGAACCTAATCTGAGAGAGGACTTTTATTTATTTATTTATTTATTTTTGAGAATTTCCTTTCTCAAGCTGGCTCCTTCTCCTATTCAAACAAATCCTTGATCTCCCCAGGACAGGCCTGCTTCATTCCTCTCAATAAACAAACATGTATTGAGCACTGGCTGCATGCAGGACTCCACACTGTGTCCTCAACGCTGAGCTGTGTGCAGTCTTAGGGGAGAGGCAACCACCCCGAGACACAGTTAGAGCATGCGAGGAGGACAGGGTCCAGAGCAAGAAACCTAACACAGCCTGAGGGCCTCCCTCCAGCCCCTGGGGCCGCCCCGGGTGAGCCTCCTTTTATTCTGCCCCCGTCAGGTCTCCCCTTTCCCTTTTTCTCTTTTCTGGGATTTCTTCTTTTCCTTCTTCGCCAGACACTGGGACCTCTGGCTCACTTGGGTGGTTTCCTGGTTCTCCTCCAGAGGTGCGCGCCTCACACACCTGCCAGCCAGTGCTACCTTCAGTCTCTGCCCCTCCACACCCTGGTCATCCTGTGCTCACCAGTTCGTGACTTATCCAAGTTCCAGATCAAAGCATCCACCGATGTTGGGTGTGCGAGCCAGGAGAGAGCTACAACTCTGTCACTTGAGATTTTACATACATACTTCAAAAGGTTTATGTAAAAGTAGATTTAAAAGACACATTTATTTGAGCACAAAAAAATTCTAACTCTACACATAGATTTTTCCTGATAGGCAATTTTGTGAAAAGACTCCTCATATTTGTATGCAAGTCTTAAAACAGATATTTCTATCTGCAGGACTTTCCTGACCTTGACTTACATTGAACTCTAGGAGAGAAAAGGAGAACCCATTCCATGTTTGGGAGTCGGATTACTGTCTGTGGCCACGTGGATGCTAAGATTCAGATTCTAGCTCGCTAGTGACCGGCTGACCATGGGTAGAGCTACTTACCCTCCGCAAGCCTGACTTTCTCAGGTGCATAGCAGAGATGGTAACGGCTCCTGCTTCATGGCACTTCCATGAGGATGAACTCAGACAACAGCTGGAAAGTTTCCATACAGGGCCTGATACGTGCCACTCAGTAAATGTCAGCTCTCATTTTGGAAATCTGTTTCAGGTGTTCAGTAGTCCAGGCCCCAGCCAAGGCTCCACAGAAGCCACACCCTGCTGGGGATGCCAGGAAGATATTTTTAAAAGAGATCATGTTGATGGATGAGGCCCTACTTTTGGACTCTATGTGTTATCGTCCTCCTTCCATTCCTTCCAGGTACAACTTAGATGGGTGTGCGGCATTTATTCAAACAAATCTAGGGAAGACATACTCTGAGTCTAGCAACTCAGGGCTGGGAAGCCAGGACCAGCCCAAGTGACCAATGGCAAATCCCACCATCTGTCCCCGGAGACACAGACAGTTAAGATCCTGAACACTGTCACTATAACCTTCCTGAACACTGCTGTTGCAACACCAGGAAAGTATTTTTCTACTTAGCACCCTTGAGTGAAATGCACACTGCTTCCCCACAAAGATACAGGTGCACAGCTGACAGCGCTGGTATGTGGGCAGCTGTCAAGTTTGCTGGCTGCCCAGTACTTTCTGAACACCATGCTGACACTGCAGGAAGTTCTCACCCTATGGCTCCTGCCTTCCACAGCTGACAAAGAGAGTTCTCCAGCTTTCTTTGTATCTGAGACATAAGCAGGTAGCCCCAGGGCTTCCAGGTTGACAAAGTAGCATTCCCAGGCCTGGTGTGGCATGGCCACCAAAGGCAGCAGGGGCAGTGATGATGGGAGTCCTGACAGTGATGCAGACTGTAGCACTCAGCTGGCAGCAGCAGTTTTCTCATTAGGCCAATTCTGCCATGTGTAAAATGGGATTTTATCCCAGATATGGAGCCTCGAACCTGGTTCTCCAGGCTCCACTAACTCTGTAAGACACCCAGCACCCTTTCATCTGGCTTCATCAGCCAGAATCGGCTTCTACTGCTCACAACTGGGAAGTCCAACTTGGAGAGATGACAATCACAGGGACACATGGTGACAAATTAGAGGTCACTCTTATGAGATCTCTCTTTCTGAATAACTCTGTCCAGATCCTCTTAATTCCTTGTGCCTGATCCTGTCACAGAGGAAAAGCTCAGACTCAAATGAATTTGAGGCCATCAGAGAAAAACTGCACTAATAGTCTAAGAAGGAATAAAGAGTGTTGTGGGTTAAGTAGACTTTGTCTCCCCAAAATGCATGCAGCTGTTTAAACTCTGATGTCTTGGTATTAATGGCTGATGGATTAAGGATGGAGATTTGATCTAATGATGACATCTGAGAGGTGAGGCTGACAGGAGATCTTTGGGTTATTGGGGACATGCCCTTAGAAAGTGGTTCTCTTAAAAGGTTTGATTATTTGATCTCCAGTTCTAGTTCGTTCATTCTCTTTCTCTCTCTCTCTCCCTCCCTTCCTCCCTCCTAGCTCACCATGTGATTGTTATCACACACTTGCCATAATCAGCCTCCAATGGACACCATGGGGCCAACCAATCCTGTATCCTCCAACTATAAGCTGAAATAGACCTTTTCTTCCCCCTCAAAGCTCCTCTAGGGTGTTTCCATCAAAGTAACAAAAATGGACGAATACAAAGGGCATCATAGCTTTTGCTTCTGCAAGGAATGGATGTAATGATTCTGAAAGTAGGCTCCAGGGACCACAGCTGCAGGCTGAGACAGGACCTCCCTCAGCAACTGACACACACACACCGAGCAGAACAACCAGGATCACACCTGTGTTCAGAGTTCCATGGGCCAGAGTGGTGAGGCCAAAGCACGGTAGGACGCAGGACGGGAAGATCTAGGAACTCGGGCCAATTCAGTGAGATATGTGTGTGTTCCTTGGCAGCAACTCCTGTTCAGGGATTGGGAGTAGCCACCACTGTAAAGGGCCCTGGCACTGCTATCAGAAACGCTGGCAAGGTGCCTGGCTGAGCGTGAACAAATTAACCTTCGCAGACTCCCGGGGAGCTCAAGAAGGAAGGCATGGCAAGCCCTGAGAACCATGCTGGGTCTTGTCTACAAGCTCCCTGCTAAGGGCCTTCCTGTTTCCAAAGACCATATGATGAGGACAATTGTCTAGGAGACAGCTGGTCTCTGGTTTTAAAGAACAGAGAGAGAAATGAAGGCATAGGGTGGCTGGATTGGAACTCCCTGAACTATCTTTCCAGGGGTCTGCTTGTCTGAGGGAGGAGAGGCCAGGCCAATGTGGAAAAAGAATGAAAGCGAAGAACAGAGAGAGACAGACAGAGACAGAGAGAACCTGGTGGCATAGCGCCATCCACTTGCGGTAACAGAAGCCGAGAAATTTTCCTTTCTGCTCAAGTTTGCAGGGGCTCTGCCACTTGCAGACAATCACTAGTTCCTGAGCCAGAGCTTTACACATGTTTTGTGCTCTTGGTGTGCTTCCACCGGTGACAGTGGGACAGTGGGAACAGAGCCAGCACTTCATGGCAGGTGAGTCACTGTGTGTCTTGTAGCTCTAGAAGCAGCTTGTTTTCATGCATTACTTCTGCACCTCCCAAGGGATCCACAGAACTATCAGCCTAGAGTCATACACTGACTCCCCACCTTTTGGAGAAGTTTTAGTCTTCCACATAGATTTCATCAGAGGAAAAAAAAAAAAAAGCAAGGCCTCTTCCTCCCCTCTGGCCTTTGCCTTGGACCAGGGAACCTCATCTGTCAAGCTTGTCTCAGAATATGCTAGTGGCGGGCTGACTGCCCCTACCGAGACCAATGCTGCAGATGTCAGATAAAATGAGGCCCCTGCCATCCCATCTTCCCAGTGCCCGCCCACCTGGGACTGGTCTCCATTCTGGGCTCAGCTCCAGAGGCTCTGTCCTTGGGATGGAAGCACAGACCTCCAGGGCTCGCTGAGCCCAGCAACAACCACTGGCTTTGTTACCCTGAGTAATGGAAAGTTCTCTCTTCCTGACAGCCTCATTCATTCCGCTCTGAATCAGACACAGACCCCCACAGTGCTGCATCCTCCACCAGGATCTCTGACAAACTCCCTCTCAGTGTCTCCCCCAGCAGCTCCCCACAGAGTCCTGTGATCAGAAGGGAAGTCATCCAGCACCCCTCCCACCCAGGACCCACCCTCTGCAACCTCAAGCTCCAGCCCAGGAAGGGAGTTACATGCCCAAGAGATACCTGATCCATTGCTGGCCTGTCAGTTGTTGCAAAGTTCTTTCTCATGTTGGGTAAAATTGGCCCCCCTCCCCTCCCATTCTATCTTACTGCAGAAACAGTGCACTCTCTAGCTGCAGAACACGCTCTGGATTTATTTGAAAACAGATCACGTTGTCCTTACTGGAAAAATCACTTCTCCACCTGAACTACCTAGTTCCTCTCTGTTCCTTCTGGCTTTCAGACCCATTCTTGCCTGGATACTTTCCAGTTCATAAACAAACAGCAGATTTACACATTAGCATCAGAACCAAAACATACTCCAGGTGAGGTCTTAAAAAAAATCCTTGTTTATCAATTAATTATTATTAATTGATTTTATTGTTATTAATTGATGGACATAATTAATTATTGCTCATCAATTTGATCTCTCTCCTTCCTCACTGGCAGAGCTCTAGATCTTGAATAACTGGTGAGGCAGAAATGCCTTGTTGCCCCTCAATATTCATTTTTCCTTCTTTTTATTAGCGGAACCTATTTTTTTAAGCTGGGCACACTGACAGTGGGATTGCCCAAAGGAATGTAGTCAGGTCCTAAATGTGAAGAATGATCCACCTATCCATTCACTCAAAGAAAGCAAAGGTGTTTTGGTGGCAAGCCTGGAATGCAATTGGGAACCATGCAGGTTTGAGCTGCATCCTATTTGTCACTTATAACTTTGAAGACTCTCCTCATCTGCAAAACAGAAATAGAAAGGAAAACAATGGGGAGGGGGAATGTGTGTGAAATCAAGCCTGACCCATGGAGACACTGGATAAATGGAGGCTAGGGCCAATCCGTTCCATTTTCCTCCCAATAGCTGACTAGATCATCTCCCAGTGCTGGAGATGTGGCCATGACCCAAACTGCCCTGCCCTGCCCTGCCCTGCAGATTCTTCAGCCCAGGCCAGATTCCCATGCAGGAGGAGTGCTCCAGGGCAGAACAGAACAAAGTATGCAAGGCCGCCGCGGCTCAATAGACTAATCCTCTGCCTGCAGCGCCGGCACACCGGGTTCTAGTCCCACTTGGGGCGCCGGATTCTGTCCCGGTTGCCCCTCTTCCAGGCCAGCTCTCTGCTGTGGCCAGGGAGTGCAGTGGAGGATGGCCCAGGTCCCTGGGCCCTGTACCCGCATGGGAGACCAGGAGAAGCTCCTGGCTTCAGATCAGCGCAATGCGCCGGCCGCAGTGCACTGGCTGCAGCGGCCATTGGAGGGTGGACCAACGGCAAAAAAGAAGACCTTTCTCTCTGTCTCTCTCTCTCACTGTCCACTCTGCCTGTCAAAAAAAAAAAAAAAAAAAAAAAAGGAACAAAGTATGCAAGGGGGAGGAACCCATCTGCTCTTGAGGCTCTTGGTTTGTTGCTTTCTCCAACTAGAGGAGCACAGAAAGCTCATGGAGAAGCGAGTATCTGGGTACAGAGCCTTGCCATGCAGTGGGGTGGCCAGGAGCTGCTGGAATCTCTACTTCCTGAAGGCAGTAGCTGCAGTTGAGAGATTCCAAGCTTCACAGGATGGACCCAGGTCCCTATACCTTTGTACTGAGACCCTGTGCTTATGGGTCACTCATATGAGGAAGACAGCTCCCCTTACAGGATTTTCACATAAATGTTAAAAAATTGGAGGTAACTTAATTAAGATATATAACTTCAACAACACCAGCCTTCTCTCATAAACAGTTCCTAAGACAGGATGGGCAGCATTAATTGTTACAATTAATTAGGCATTAAACTGATAATGGGTACAGCTGCTAACAATTAACAGCTAATTATGTCAAGCACTTTAACCATTTCACAAAAGAAATGGAAATTGGAGGGAAGGGAGAGGGAGATGAAAAGAGAGAAAGCAGCTACCTTGTAAACAAATGAGAAGCAGTTAGCACCCAGTGCAGCTGTAGAAATGGCAGAACAAGTTGATGTCAGCCCTGTCCCCAGCAAGGCTGAGCTGCCTAGAAGCCATGTGAG